TGTGTGACTGTAAAACCGCAACCTGTTGTCAGTATGGTAACGGCGTTGATGCCGAGGGCCGACTATGTATAAGCTAGCTGACGGAGGAGGGGACATTCGGAGGCATCCGAAACACTACAAACCGACTATCGCTTCTATCTGACCTGGGGCGCGAGCTCATCACGAGCATATAGGCAACGTGAATGAATATAAGCATGATAATGTGAAGCAATTTTAATCTCGTACGCAATACGTGAAGCAGGTATATATTACAGCGTTGAAAGTAATAGGTCATAGCTATTTCCCGTAGCCCCGTTCTTATATTACAGAAATGTTTTTTATTAGATAAAAAGGACAACGTAAAGAATTAGCGAAATAAATTCACATCTATTGATGTCCCTCTCTATCTATCGCTCTGTGTCTATCTAGCTCTGTCTGTCTGTCTGTCTGTCTGTCTATCTTTCTGTCTGTCTGTCTGTCTGTCTGTTTGTCTGTCTATCTGACTGTCTATCTGTCAATCTGTCTGTTTGTCTGTCTGTATCTGTCAGTGTCTCTCTTTCATTCTAACCAATCGCTGAAATTTTCCGCCGTATTGTAACAGAGACTGGGATCGGGACCTCTATTACGACTCGCCGCTACGTCGCCAGACGCACGTGGAGCGCGTCGGCAAAGAAGAACAAAGATTTCTCAGCATCTTCATCCTTGCCGCGGCGAGCGGCGGCGGCGGCGGCGGCGATGTGTGTCCGCGGTAAATACGGAAACCTAATACGAACTCTAATCAGCTGAGTCGTGTGGCGGGCGGTCGCTAACCCGGCCCAGCCTTGTTCCGCTCAAGTCGAGCGCTAAACGCGATCGCCGGCCGGGTAAAGCCTCTCAGATACATGCACACGTAGCACGCGCATAAATTACGCCGCCTATCGCTCATTCGGCGCGCTTTGTAAATCAAACAGGGATACCCCGTCCCCGGGGTCCGACTAAAGTAATTGTGTGATGACAGACTTAAATGCCGTATCATCATCTATCTGCCCACAATACGTGTGTATAAGTAACGAACGCGTATGCATTTAGCGACGCGCGTGCCTCTCCCTGCCCGCCCCCCTCCCTGGTTTATTTGGTTAGCGGAGGACGCGGGGCGATGTCATCCGGTGTGAGTATCGTCCGATATATCACGGCGAAACGCACTGCAAGTGGGACGACGTATATATACGAACCCGAAATCACTTGCGCCGCGGTGCGATAGTTCGACGCTATAATTATTTTGTAAAGTCAACAGCGTCACTTCTTTGCGTCAATAGCGAGCAATCAAATGTTCGCTCTTCACTTGAAGTCCCAGTCGGCCAAACACGGCACGATGTTTAACGCTATATTTGCGAGCGTGCGGCCAGAGAAATAGAGAAAGCAAGAAAGAGGAAGAGAGAAGACGAGAGAGGGCGAGAGAGAGGTAGACAGCCAGACAAACAGACAGACAGACAAACAGACAGACAGACAGACAGACAGACAGACAGACAGACAGACAGACAGACAGACAGACAAACAGACAGACAGACAGACAGACAGACAGACAGACAGACAGACAGACAGACAGACAGACAGACAGACAGACAGACAGACAGACAGACAGACAGACAGATAGACAGACAGACCGACAAAACAAAAAGACAGACAGAAAGAGTGAGATACAAAAACGCGGTTTGAAAACGCGGGCGCCGCGACGTTTGAAGAGCAGGAGCGTTTTTCATTCAGCGCGACGCGTCCGCGCGCGCACGCGGTGACATTTTGATGCAATCAGTCGCTAAACGTTAACGACGTCAATGATTAACGAGCGCGGCAATCTGTCGCCTAATCTCGCGCACCTACGCACGAACACGCACACACGCACGCACGAACACGCACGCACGTACGCACACGCAAACGCACGCACGTACGCACGAGCACGCACGCACGCACGCACGAACACGCACGCACGTACGCACACGCAAACGCACGCACGTACGCACGAGCACGCACGCACGCAC